GTGTTGAGCGAGGGCAGCCAGGCGGCGAGGCCGGAGCGCGGCGGCAGCGTATCTCGTGTCTCGTACCTCGCGCGTGTACTTACGCACGGGGCTCAAGTGTTGAGCGAGGGCAGCCAGGCGGCGAGGCCGGAGCGCGGCGGCAGCGTATCTCGTGTCTCGTACCTCGCGCGTGTATTTACGCACGGGGCTCAAGTGTTGAGCGAGGGCAGCCAGGCGGCGAGGCCGGAGCGCGGCGGCAGCGCGGCGCGCAGCGAGGCCTCCTCGTGCGCAGCAGCGTATCTCGTATCTCGTACCTCGCGCGTGTACTTACGCACGGGGCTCAAGTGTTGAGCGAGGGCAGCCAGGCGGCGAGGCCGGAGCGCGGCGGCAGCGAGGCCTCCTCGTGCGCAGCAGCGTATCTCGTATCTCGTACCTCGCGCGTGTACTTACGCACGGGGCTCAAGTGTTGAGCGAGGGCAGCCAGGCGGCGAGGCCGGAGCGCGGCGGCAGCGTATCCCGTATCTCGTATCTCGTACCTCGCGCGTGTACTTACGCACGGGGCTCAAGTGTTGAGCGAGGGCAGCCAGGCGGCGAGGCCGGAGCGCGGCGGCAGCGAGGCCTCCTCGTGCGCAGCAGCGTATCTCGTATCTCGTACCTCGCGCGTGTACTTACGCACGGGGCTCAAGTGTTGAGCGAGGGCAGCCAGGCGGCGAGGCCGGAGCGCGGCGGCAGCGTATCTCGTGTCTCGTACCTCGCGCGTGTACTTACGCACGGGGCTCAAGTGTTGAGCGAGGGCAGCCAGGCGGCGAGGCCGGAGCGCGGCGGCAGCGCGGCGCGCAGCGAGGCCTCCTCGTGCGCAGCAGCGTATCTCGTATCTCGTACCTCGCGCGTGTACTTACGCACGGGGCTCAAGTGTTGAGCGAGGGCAGCCAGGCGGCGAGGCCGGAGCGCGGCGGCAGCGCGGCGCGCAGCGAGGCCTCCTCGTGCGCAGCAGCGTATCTCGTATCTCGTACCTCGCGCGTGTACTTACGCACGGGGCTCAAGTGTTGAGCGAGGGCAGCCAGGCGGCGAGGCCGGAGCGCGGCGGCAGCGCGGCGCGCAGCGAGGCCTCCTCGTGCGCAGCAGCGTATCTCGTATCTCGTACCTCGCGCGTGTACTTACGCACGGGGCTCAAGTGTTGAGCGAGGGCAGCCAGGCGGCGAGGCCGGAGCGCGGCGGCAGCGCGGCGCGCAGCGAGGCCTCCTCGTGCGCAGCAGCGTATCTCGTATCTCGTACCTCGCGCGTGTACTTACGCACGGGGCTCAAGTGTTGAGCGAGGGCAGCCAGGCGGCGAGGCCGGAGCGCGACGGCAGCGTATCTCGTATCTCGTATCTCGTACCTCGCGCGTGTACTTACGCACGGGGCTCAAGTGTTGAGCGAGGGCAGCCAGGCGGCGAGGCCGGAGCGCGGCGGCAGCGAGGCCTCCTCGTGCGCAGCAGCGTATCTCGTACCTCGCGCGTGTACTTACGCACGGGGCTCAAGTGTTGAGCGAGGGCAGCCAGGCGGCGAGGCCGGAGCGCGGCGGCAGCGTATCTCGTGTCTCGTACCTCGCGCGTGTACTTACGCATGGGGCTCAAGTGTTGAGCGAGGGCAGCCAGGCGGCGAGGCCGGAGCGCGGCGGCAGCGCGGCGCGCAGCGAGGCCTCCTCGTGCGCAGCAGCGTATCTCGTAACTCGTACCTCGCGCGTGTACTTACGCACGGGGCTCAAGTGTTGAGCGAGGGCAGCCAGGCGGCGAGCCGGAGCGCGGCGGCAGCGTATCTCGTGTCTCGTACCTCGCGCGTGTACTTACGCACGGGGCTCAAGTGTTGAGCGAGGGCAGCCAGGCGGCGAGGCCGGAGCGCGGCGGCAGCGCGGCGCGCAGCGAGGCCTCCTCGTGCGCAGCAGCGTATCTCGTATCTCGTACCTCGCGCGTGTACTTACGCACGGGGCTCAAGTGTTGAGCGAGGGCAGCCAGGCGGCGAGGCCGGAGCGCGGCGGCAGCGAGGCCTCCTCGTGCGCAGCAGCGTATCTCGTATCTCGTACCTCGCGCGTGTACTTACGCACGGGGCTCAAGTGTTGAGCGAGGGCAGCCAGGCGGCGAGGCCGGAGCGCGGCGGCAGCGTATCTCGTGTCTCGTACCTCGCGCGTGTACTTACGCACGGGGCTCAAGTGTTGAGCGAGGGCAGCCAGGCGGCGAGGCCAGAGCGCGGCGGCAGCGCGGCGCGCAGCGAGGCCTCCTCGTGCGCAGCAGCGTATCTCGTATCTCGTACCTCGCGCGTGTACTTACGCACGGGGCTCAAGTGTTGAGCGAGGGCAGCCAGGCGGCGAGGCCGGAGCGCGGCGGCAGCGCGGCGCGCAGCGAGGCCTCCTCGTGCGCAGCAGCGTAACTCGTATCTCGTACCTCGCGCGTGTACTTACGCACGGGGCTCAAGTGTTGAGCGAGGGCAGCCAGGCGGCGAGGCCGGAGCGCGGCGGCAGCGCGGCGCGCAGCGAGGCCTCCTCGTGCGCAGCAGCGTATCTCGTATCTCGTACCTCGCGCGTGTACTTACGCACGGGGCTCAAGTGTTGAGCGAGGGCAGCCAGGCGGCGAGGCCGGAGCGCGGCGGCAGCGCGGCGCGCAGCGAGGCCTCCTCGTGCGCAGCAGCGTATCTCGTATCTCGTACCTCGCGCGTGTACTTACGCACGGGGCTCAAGTGTTCAGCGAGGGCAGCCAGGCGGCGAGGCCGGAGCGCGGCGGCAGCGTATCTCGTGTCTCGTACCTCGCGCGTGTACTTACACACGGGGCTCAAGTGTTGAGCGAGGGCAGCCAGGCGGCGAGGCCGGAGCGCGGCGGCAGCGCGGCGCGCAGCGAGGCCTCCTCGTGCGCAGCAGCGTATCTCGTATCTCGTACCTCGCGCGTGTACTTACGCACGGGGCTCAAGTGTTGAGCGAGGGCAGCCAGGCGGCGAGGCCGGAGCGCGGCGGCAGCGCGGCGCGCAGCGAGGCCTCCTCGTGCGCAGCAGCGTATCTCGTATCTCGTACCTCGCGCGTGTACTTACGCACGGGGCTCAAGTGTTGAGCGAGGGCAGCCAGGCGGCGAGGCCGGAGCGCGGCGGCAGCGTATCTCGTGTCTCGTACCTCGCGCGTGTACTTACGCACGGGGCTCAAGTGTTGAGCGAGGGCAGCCAGGCGGCGAGGCCGGAGCGCGGCGGCAGCGCGGCGCGCAGCGAGGCCTCCTCGTGCGCAGCAGCGTATCTCGTATCTCGTACCTCGCGCGTGTACTTACGCACGGGGCTCAAGTGTTGAGCGAGGGCAGCCAGGCGGCGAGGCCGGAGCGCGGCGGCAGCGCGGCGCGCAGCGAGGCCTCCTCGTGCGCAGCAGCGTATCTCGTATCTCGTACCTCGCGCGTGTACTTACGCACGGGGCTCAAGTGTTGAGCGAGGGCAGCCAGGCGGCGAGGCCGGAGCGCGGCGGCAGCGCGGCGCGCAGCGAGGCCTCCTCGTGCGCAGCAGCGTATCTCGTATCTCGTACCTCGCGCGTGTACTTACGCACGGGGCTCAAGTGTTGAGCGAGGGCAGCCAGGCGGCGAGGCCGGAGCGCGGCGGCAGCGCGGCGCGCAGCGAGGCCTCCTCGTGCGCAGCAGCGTATCTCGTATCTCGTACCTCGCGCGTGTACTTACGCACGGGGCTCAAGTGTTGAGCGAGGGCAGCCAGGCGGCGAGGCCGGAGCGCGGCGGCAGCGCGGCGCGCAGCGAGGCCTCCTCGTGCGCAGCAGCGTATCTCGTATCTCGTACCTCGCGCGTGTACTTACGCACGGGGCTCAAGTGTTCAGCGAGGGCAGCCAGGCGGCGAGGCCGGAGCGCGGCGGCAGCGTATCTCGTGTCTCGTACCTCGCGCGTGTACTTACACACGGGGCTCAAGTGTTGAGCGAGGGCAGCCAGGCGGCGAGGCCGGAGCGCGGCGGCAGCGCGGCGCGCAGCGAGGCCTCCTCGTGCGCAGCAGCGTATCTCGTATCTCGTACCTCGCGCGTGTACTTACGCACGGGGCTCAAGTGTTGAGCGAGGGCAGCCAGGCGGCGAGGCCGGAGCGCGGCGGCAGCGCGGCGCGCAGCGAGGCCTCCTCGTGCGCAGCAGCGTATCTCGTATCTCGTACCTCGCGCGTGTACTTACGCACGGGGCTCAAGTGTTGAGCGAGGGCAGCCAGGCGGCGAGGCCGGAGCGCGGCGGCAGCGTATCTCGTGTCTCGTACCTCGCGCGTGTACTTACGCACGGGGCTCAAGTGTTGAGCGAGGGCAGCCAGGCGGCGAGGCCGGAGCGCGGCGGCAGCGCGGCGCGCAGCGAGGCCTCCTCGTGCGCAGCAGCGTATCTCGTATCTCGTACCTCGCGCGTGTACTTACGCACGGGGCTCAAGTGTTGAGCGAGGGCAGCCAGGCGGCGAGGCCGGAGCGCGGCGGCAGCGCGGCGCGCAGCGAGGCCTCCTCGTGCGCAGCAGCGTATCTCGTATCTCGTACCTCGCGCGTGTACTTACGCACGGGGCTCAAGTGTTGAGCGAGGGCAGCCAGGCGGCGAGGCCGGAGCGCGGCGGCAGCGAGGCCTCCTCGTGCGCAGCAGCGTATCTCGTATCTCGTACCTCGCGCGTGTACTTACGCACGGGGCTCAAGTGTTGAGCGAGGGCAGCCAGGCGGCGAGGCCGGAGCGCGGCGGCAGCGCGGCGCGCAGCGAGGCCTCCTCGTGCGCAGCAGCGTATCTCGTATCTCGTACCTCGCGCGTGTACTTACGCACGGGGCTCAAGTGTTGAGCGAGGGCAGCCAGGCGGCGAGGCCGGAGCGCGGCGGCAGCGAGGCCTCCTCGTGCGCAGCAGCGTATCTCGTATCTCGTACCTCGCGCGTGTACTTACGCACGGGGCTCAAGTGTTGAGCGAGGGCAGCCAGGCGGCGAGGCCGGAGCGCGGCGGCAGCGAGGCCTCCTCGTGCGCAGCAGCGTATCTCGTATCTCGTACCTCGCGCGTGTACTTACGCACGGGGCTCAAGTGTTGAGCGAGGGCAGCCAGGCAGCGAGGCCGGAGCGCGGCGGCAGCGCGGCGCGAAGCGAGGCCTCCTCGTGCGCGGACAGGCGCAGCAGCACGGCGAGCGCGCGCGTCAGCTGCCGCGCCTCCAGCTCGCGCGCCGTCAGGAACCGCAGCACCACGTGCTTCAGGTACCTGCCATGTACGAACCACGAATTAAGACAGTCATGTAAATAAAGGTACGTTCAGGCTGAAGCAAATCCTACGTGAAATCCATTACTGAGCATAAGTCTCCCCAAAGAATGCCACAAAGCACAATTCTAAGCCACCTGTATCCATCGACTTCTTGCATGTCTTACCAGGTCGTCACTCCATCTAATGGCTGCCTTACACTTTCCCTACCAGTACGAGGCTGCCACTCGAGAACCTTTCTTCCTTATCGATTGTCGGTTCTCCGAGCTATAATGACCGGCCCATTGCCACAAGTGGTAATATCGGTTACTCTAGTTCTACTGCAGATATCCTCATTTTTAAGTCTATCACGCAGATACCCCATAGCTCGCGTTTTAATGAATAAATTTTCATGTAATAATAATTTAAACTTGACATTCAATAATTTAATTAAAAAAATATTTGACTAGAGATAGGTATTACCTATCTAAATATAATTTAAAACAGATAGCAAATGTGCTATCTTATTGTTTATATATTAACTCAGCCAAGAACTAGGCTACACAAACATCTGCTTCTTTTGAGTAGTATAATAACTTAATATGTAATTTGGAATCAGTTCCAAGTAATTTAAATTAGAAAATGAGACAATAGAGGTAATCTCTAGCAGTTATAATAATTTAGAATGTAGCTTACAAATCTTTAATTGTATGACTCCACAGACTGATAATGAAAATTGTTTACACCTGGTGCATCAAAATATACAAGGCATGATAGGCAAAGAGCTAGAAATTGAGTTGTTCGTAAAAAGCAACAATATTCATATTTTATGTGTTACTGAACATTAGTTAAAAGCTTATAACTTAAAGTTTAACTTCAGTAATCACCAGGTGGCCAGTTCTTTCAATAGAGAAACGGTTTTAAGAGGTGACTCCTTAGTATTACCTAGTAAATTATTATCATGTAAAGAACGTAAAGATAGCCCCACTGTAGAGCGAACTGTAGAAATGGCATGTGTTGAGTTTGACCACCTCATTGTTGAGAGCGTCTACAGACCCCCATGTTCTATATACGATACTTTTGAAAAAACTATGGAGGAAGTTTTTGCTAAGCTTAATAAACAGAATAAATCTGTTGTAATATGTGGAGACTTTAATATCAATCTCCTAGAAGCTACCTCCATCAATATTAAATTTAGATCATTGTTTAAATCATATGGTCTTTTTAATTTATTTTTAGAGCCAACGCGTATTGCTCAATCTAGTGCAACATGTATAGATAACATTTTTACAAATGTGAAGACGTTGCATAAATGTATAATTCAAAAATTAAGCTCTGATCACTGTGGACAAATAGTTTCGTTACCCTATGTTCACAAAAAACAATCAAATGAGAAAATTGTGTTTGTTCCAGTAAATGCAAGTCGCTTGGAGAAATTTAGAAGTAACATAGTGAAAAAACTTCTATCACTTTCATACCAAAATGATCCAAATTTTTTGTATGGAACATTATTTAAGTTTATTTGCAATTAATTTAATAATACTTTTACTTCTAAAACATTCTCCTTGAATAGTCGGAAGTCATTCAATGAATGGGCGACAGTAGGAGTTGATAAGAGCAGACATAGGTTATATGATCTTTACCATGAAATGTCATGTAATCATAGCGTCGAATATGTAAAAAATATTCAAAAATATTTAAAAGCACACGCTCCACAGCCAAGTCTTTGCATTTCAGCAACAAAATTAAGACGGCTTCTAATAAAATTAAAATGAAATGGAGTATAATTAATAGCGAAACTGGTAAGATCAACTCTCGCAATTCAAACTACCAGTTAAGTGTTAACAACAAATTAACTGAATCAGATCAGGACGTTGCAATGTATTTTGAGAAATATTTTACTGATATTCCGATATTAACCACTAAGACACTGAATTCTTCTCCTGCCGTCGCCGAATCATTACTCATACAAAATGTAAATGCGTGTACAAAGAATTTTAAATTTCATAAACTATCATCAAAAGATATTGTAAAATATTTTAGAACTATTGATGTTAAGAAAACTGTGGATCTGTAGGGGATTTCCGTTAAAGTTATTGCATCTATAATAGATACAATCGCGCCTCATTTAGCTATTATTTTTAATACTAGTATCGAATCTGGTGTGTTTCCTGATTTAATGAAGCATAGTAAAGTAATACCTTTCTTTAATCTGGTAGTACATTAGACCCCGCCAATTTTATACCTATTTCTGTATTACCAACACTTAGTAAAATTTTTGAAAAAATTATTCTTGATCAAATGTTAAATTTCTTTAATATAAATAATTTACTTTATAAAAATCAATTTGGTTTCACAAGGGGTCGCTCGACAACCGATGCCGATGTTTAGGTGATTAAATATATCTTTAATGCATGGGAGAATTCACAGGATGCTTTGGGTATATTCTGTGATCTATCCAAGGCCTTCGATTGTGTTCACCATGAAACATTAATCAGGAAACTTCAACAATACGATGTAAGAAGTGATGCTCTTAAATTAATTATTTCATATTTAAGTAAGAGAACGCAAAAAGTTTTTATTAACAGTATGAGCTCTTCCGGGTCGATGGTACAAATGGGCGTGCCTTAAGGCTCAATTCTCGGCCCCTTTCTGTTTCTTGTATACGTTAATGACTTACCTTACATAGTAGGGGATAACCATGATATAGTATTATTTGCAGATGAAACTTCTTTAATTTTCAAATTAAGTCGACAATTACTAAAATATGACGAAGTAAATAATGCTATATCTAAATTAGTAAATTGGTACAATGTTAATAATTTGCATTTAAATGGCACTAAAACGAAATGTATGACATTAAAGACTCAAATGTGAAACAATTAAATACTAATGTAATTTTAAATGGGGAGAAACTGAGTCTTGTAGATATTACCATTTTTCTTGGAATCACACTAGACGCGAAGCTACAATGGAGCCCCCATATATCAAAAATAGCAAGCAGACTTAGTTCTGCAGCATATGCTGTAAAAAAGATTAGAAGTCTTACCAGTGTTGAAACAGCTAGACTAGTTTACTTTAGCTATTTCCATAGCATAATGTCGTATGATACCATACGACATTATGGGGACACGCAGCTGACACTAAAATTATATTTATTTTACAGAAGAGGGCATAAGAGCAATTTATGATTTAAAGCCTAGAGTCGCTGCGACAAAAATTTAAGGAAATTTATATATTGGCCTCTCAATACATTTATGAAAATAAAATGTACGTACACAAAAATAAAAGTAGTTTTACAAAAATAAGTGATATTCATTCTGTAAATACTAGAAACAGACACAAGCTAGTAGTACCAGTTACTAGACTCCATCGAGTCAGTAATTCATTCTTGGGGCGATGTATACGCTTTTACAACAAAATTCCAGAAAATATACAAAATTTGACCTGCACAAAGTTCAAAAACTTTGTTAAACTAAGTTTGTATAAAAAGGGTTATTATAATATTAAAGAATTTATGGATGATAATACCTCTGGAAATGAGGTGATCGCTACCAAGCGATGTCTAATTTATTGTGTTGTTAATTTGTGTAACTACATGATTGTAATCTGTTATTTTTAAAAAAAAGTCCCGCTGGGTTTCTTGCTGGTTCTTCCCAGGACAGAGGTTTTTTTTCGAACCAGTGGTAATTAAACAAAAGAGTGTGTTACGGCCCAAAGCTGCCCTTGCAAAGGTCGCCTTGGCTAGGGCCCATAGTAGCCTCCTCGACGGGCAGCCAAGGGTTCGGGCCCGAATGGCCTTATGGAAAAATGACCTATCATACTACAAAATAGGGAAAAAGCTAGGAAAGTAAATGGTATGTACCTGGATCCGAATCTAAGACCGCCCCAAGGCTCGTTCAGCCCGTAGGTAGAGTAGATGCATGTTAAGTAGTGTTTAGTGGTGTGTATATGTGGGTGACCTGGCCTAGCTGAGGTGACCTGGCAGCGGCCGGTTTCCATGCTGCCCCACAGTGCTGCATCACTCCAGCAGGCATCCACAATGGACAGTTTCTTTCTTCATTGTCACTATTTCAGTCTATTAACTTTATTGTACATTTAACTAACTTCAACTCGCCTAACTCAACGTTCATCGTAGAATCGAACACGTGATACCCGACACAAGTAACGGACAGTAGTTCAAAGTTCAACATTCAATGTCCCGGATTCATTTATCATCAAATTACAAATAGGGAACTAACGCGATCTCTTCATGAGTCACACGGTTCAGCGTTAAAAACACAACTAAGCTCCTTCGTTCGATATTAAACACCACGCCGCAATAAGAATTCAAAATCGACCTAGCTGACACGTAGACTAGCTACCGAGTCAACACACAAAAGGCTCTTAACGCGACGGTATAATTAAACGATGATTCCCAAACAATCAAACGGGAGACGCCCTCGAAAAGGAATGCGCGGTTCGAATTTTAGACCGTATATCTACTCGGCGCGCGCGAAATTCCACGTCACACGAGCAAGTTAAATATTGCAAAATGCACTTCAACACGCAATCACTATATAATTTGCGCAATTACTTTCAAACGAAATTACTTTAATCAGTCTACAATACAAGCCTCTTGTCACGAACTTAAAACCTAGACAACTAAACCGAGGCTGTTTTCCCGAAACCACAATTACGTAGCGAAGTAACACGCACTAATTCCAAAAATCTAGACCATAAACCGGTCGCGCGAAACTTCTACAGCGGTAACCGAGATACGCTAATTAACTGTACCGCTGCCCGCGAGCCACTGTCGCTCGCCCGACAGCGCCAAACGCTGGAAGGCTGCCTTCCGCTGCCCCCTCCCCGCGACACGCGTGACACCTGGTACCAACGGGCGATTTGCTAAGTCGAACGTGACTGGATGCCGTCTCAAAATGACCATTTTTGGCCTAAACAGAGTGACTTTCAATAAGTATTATTTATAATCTATATTGAATAAAAAAGTTTCTGTTTCTGTTTCCTAATACAGCCAGCAGTGA